TGTATTCACCCATCTACATATCTGATCTTATCTGTAATAATATCATGTTTCAACTCATTGACTACTTTTAGCATAGGGACTTTGGGCTACAGAAATGAATTTTCTGATTACATAATTTAGCAGTAGACTCTTAGGGTATAACTAAATAAAACATAAGCATACTTTGCATAATTTGTTTTTTTTTTTTTTTTTTGGCTTGTCCAGACCCTGCCATCCCTCAAAGCCCTATTTATGCTGTCATTCCTTCAAATGAAGTCTCATGGCCGGTGAACTCAGAGTGATTATTATTTATCTCACAATTTGCCATGCTATATGCAGTGCTGGCATTTTTCCCCCTCATATTGCTTAACTTCCATGTTATCTTTTTACTTCAACCAGATTGTAAGTTCCTTGAGGTCAGAGAAAATGTTTTATTTATCTTTGTTTTCCTATCAGCATCTCCCCCTGTGGCTTGCACAAAGCAGGTTCTTAATAAATGTATGTTCTGTCATTGAGTATTCTGCCAATGCTTACATGAGAAATGAGTCTAGAATTCTCAAGACTGCTCTTGAAGTTTTTACCATCTTGGGATGAGAAAGAAGTGAAGTTTAACAGATAAAGCCTGAAATTTAGTATTCAGGGCTAAAATGTACATAAAATAATAAACAATTACTTAAATAACAAGGCAGAGAAGTGTTTGCCCTCCATTATCCATTTCTGCTTTACAAAAAAACTTTTTTATCTCAAATATCAAATAATCTCAAGTAATCTCAAATATCACCTAATTTCTACCTTTGGCTTTGACTGCAGTTTTAGTTTCCATATGGGAAAAGAGGAAAGCAAAGTATACATGAAATGGTGGTCTAGGTAAGTCATCTGGATGGTGGGCAAAGTATAAAAGAGACATAATACTCAGAATGGTGCTATATTCTGGCCAATCATGGGACTTGGAAATGAAATGCATAGGAACATAATAATAGGGAATTTCAACACTCCACTGACAGAACTAGAGAGATCATTAAGTCAGAAAATCAACAAAGAAACACTGAATTTAAACAGGACTTTCGAACAAATGGACTTAAGAGGCATTTACATAACGTTCTACTCCAAAATTGCAGAATAGGCATTCTTTTCATCAGCTCATGGAATATTTTCAAGGCAGATTATATGTTAGGCCATAAAATAGGTCACAGAAAATTTGAAAAAAATTGAAATCATACCATGTATCTTCTCAGATCATAGTGGAACAAAACTAGAAATCAATTCCAAGAGGAACTCTCAAAACTATAAAAATGCATGAAAATTAAACAGCCTGCTGCTGAATGATCTTTGCAGAAATCCTAAGCAAAAAGATCAAATCTGGAGGCATTACATTACCTGACTTCAAATTATACTACAAGGCAAGAGTAAATAAAATAGCATGGAACTGGTATACAAATAGACAAGTGGACCAATGGAACACAATAGAAAGCCCATAAGTAAAGTAAATTCCTACAACCAACTGATCTTTGACAAAGTAGACAAAAGCATACATTGGGGAAAGCACACCCGGTTCCAAAAAGGGTTCTGGGAAAATTGGATAGTCTCATGCAGGAGAATAAACCTGGACCCTTATCTCTCACCATATACCATAATTAGCTAAAAATAGAGTAGAGACTTAAATGTAAGACTTGAAACCATAAAAATATTAGAAGAAAACCTAGGAAAAATTATTCCAAACATTGGCCTAAAACAAAAAGTCATGGCTA